CTGTGATGAACTGAGCGTGACCTCCTCCTTCCTTGGCCAACCCGTTGATAAGAGCAGAGCTGGCCCCTTCCCCAATCCCAAAAGAGAAACACCTACAATACAGGAGTTTTCTTTAAGTACACAGAGCATTATAACATGGGACATTTACTCAGAGTTTTGTGGGTGGTTGATGGGTTTTGTGTTTTTGTATTTTCACCTGTGGGAACCTGAATTCTTCTTCACCAGATTGATGACTTGTTTGGTGTTCTCCACCTCTCCGTCAGTAAAGACAAATAGCTGGGTAGGAAAAATGCAGCATGTGCTGAGTCATCAAATCATTCTCTGGGAGCTGTGCTAGATAGCTGATTTCGTAACACAGGCAGTATAAAAAAGTATAAAAAGTATAAAAAACAACAAAGGTGTGGCAAGAGTGAATTGAATAAACCGGTTTGCCCAGGATAGAACTGGGAAAGGTGTGAGTCGAACAGTGGAAGCTACTGAGTGGATCAATCAGGCATTTTAAATGGGCTGTACAGACCATTCTATGCCTGATCTACTTCCGATGATTGATGTGTTTGCTCTGCGTACACAAGCTGTCAAACACTTTGTAAGCTCCATTCAAAGACTGAAATCACAAAGCATGTCCAGAAAATGAACGTGCAGATGAGATGAGGACTTAGTTGTATGCTGTTTTTACTGGTCAAAGGTTCTTGTACAGCCCATGTGTGTGTGTGTTTGCGCGCGCGTGTGTGTGTGTGTGTGTGTGTGTGTGTGTGTTTAGTACTTGTCTAGGTTGATTGGGAATGGTTGGCTGACTGTAAATTTCTTTGAGGGGCTCAAGGATCTCTGTTCCTCCCAGGTCAGCGTTCATCGCTTCAACTTTCTTCAGAGCCTGTTCCATGGTCTCCTCATTGTACTCCACACTTTTACTGCAGAAATGCAAACGGAGGAGGTCAGGTGGTGGATGGATGTGTAGCACTATCAAGTTCTACACCACAATTCAGAAATCACATCCTGTCTCAGACCAACTTTTATAGGTGTAACCATAGTCTCTCCCAAGATTTAAGCACATCTTCGTTGTACTGTAGTTGCCATGCATACTTTTGTTTTGGAATAATTAATTGTAAAATGTTAGGAGTGAAATTTTAAAATCCTGACATTAAACGTAATCCATGATTTTACAGAATCACCCAATATCAATTATCTGTCAGCTGATAAAGCTGATAAGTTACCACATACAAACAGTGGTATCAAAGAATTTAGCACATTTTTTGGACTGGGTGACACAAGGGAGTGACTTACGGGAAGATGCGTTCGTAGGTGGACCCAAAACTGTAGATGTTGAAATAGCAGCCCATTGGTAAGCTCTTCAACAAGAGCAGCAGAGTATCCTTCAGGCAAGGAAAGAACAGATAATGAAGGCTACTGTGTGAGAGAGACACTGAATGATTTTATGATAGAAATGACACAATGAATACCCTGGCACTGCCAATGCGATCCTGACTCTCAGTGTTGTCCATAGGTGATTCCATACTGCCAGATCGATCCAATAAGAGCACAAACTCTCCATGTGAGGCGACTGAAGACATCACAGCCTGGGGGAACTCAGGGTACAGGCTCAGCATCACTACTGGATCACCCATCAGAGTGCCTGAAACACAACATATGTGACTCAGCTATATAAAAATAAAAATAATTACCTCTTATATTTAACACATCACATCAGTTTGAAGGTAATAACTGTTTATTTGCAAAGTACCACTTCACTAATTTGCACTCACCAGGCTTGGCAGACGCCTGTCCTGCCTCCACCACAGCAGTGGGCTGGTGGGCATCTTTGTAATAAATCAGCAGTTCAACATCTCTGTCAAACTTATGTCCTGCAGCCAACTTGACCTGCAGTTCACAAAACACACTCAGAAATATAATCAAAGTCATATACATCTTGTTCTCAGTACTGAGGAACAATCACACACAGCAGACACATCAGCACTGTACCTACCGTGGCCTGGGTTTGCTCTGTGTTGAGGTACTGGAGAGGATCCAGGGAACAGCTGGACTCTACTTTAGAGACTGGACGAGGAGAGGACAGTCGGGCAGAGAAAGACAGACTGTAGGGCACCAGAGAGGCTGGAACAGAGGTCACCTGGACACTGGCACCTTCACTACCTGTGAACAAGATCAGATATGTTTGAAATCATGTAATTAAAGAGGCATTACACACTCCCTGAGGTAGGCTAGCAGCATTAAAAACCTTGCCTAAGGGTCCAGTCTGAATATGTGTTAGTGGCCCTGACCGGGATTTGAACCCCACTCTCCTGCGCCAAAGTGAGTGGCCTTAACCTGAGCCTTTTTATTGTCCCCTGTATACTGTTGGGCATGTGTCTGTTATATCAAAACACTCTCTGCAGACAGGTATAGTGTGCACTAAGCTGAAGGTGTTAGCTGGTTTTCCTACCCTGAGGTTGGTAGCGAGGGTTGAGCACAGCAGGCAGAGAAAACCTCAGCCCATCATCAGCCTGCACAGCCAGCTCAGTGACGTACTCCAGCCTGATGGAGGCGCTCTCTCCTGGAGGCAGTCTGCCCACACTCAGAGAGAATATATCTGGACTCTGCTCACTCTCCTCCAACAGGAAGGCCTGCTGACCGGAGCTCAGTGCATCATCATACTCCTCACGAGCCTGGAGTACAGACGACACATGTGAGCAACATTCAGTGTGTTTACTGTGTTTTTAAGATCCATTGTGAGTTAGTCTCTACTGTCCAGCTCACCTTCTGTTTCTCCTTCACCTCAGCTACAATCTCTTTTTGTCCAATCTTAGCACTGAAATGACAGACAGCAGCATCTCCAGGCAGAGGGAAGACAAATACTGCCTCTATTGGTTTGTCCTCCTTGTTCTCATAGTTCAGAGTGGAGACCACTGTAGCCACATGGTCCCTCACCTCCACCTCCACCTCTATGCTTTTCAGAGGAACTTACAGAAAAACAGAAGGACACACAATGAACATAATCTGTGTGTTAATTTCTCTGCTTTGTTTTGTAACATTTTCTTTTTACACTGGTGAACCTGTGTGCCAAGATGATTGTTAAAGATGTCTCTCTGTGCAAAGCAGGATACAATTATGTGTCTCATAGTCTTTACAGCTATCATAAGCCTGTGCACTTGAAGTTTACATGAGCACAAAAAAACAGTTATGAAGCAAATGAGACATTTCTGTCTGTTTGTTTCCTAACAACTCTTTACCTGGTTCCTTCTGAAGTGTTATCAGACCACGGCAGTTCACCATCGTACCTGTACAACAATCAACAAGAACATTTGAGGACTTCTGCTTTAATGATAAATGTCAGTGACAGTTATCCTACATTCTGGATGTTCTTCAGCAATTAAAACAAGTTATTTTTAAACTGCTTAATATATTTATTGTCATCTGTTATGAATAATTTTTGCACAATTGTCTCACACAGTTTAACAGGACAACTTTTACTGAGGAAAAACTACAAAAACTTCTAAAAATACCAACACAACATTTTATTAATTTACTGCACAAATCACCAAAATCACAAAGTATATAAATAACAATAACCCATATTATTATTAACACATTGCTATTGACCTAAATAACATTGTAGCCATGCCCACATTTCCCTTCATGCTGGACTGAGTAGTTTGTAGTTTGCTGTTAAGTTCGCTGTTTTCTGTTCCATAACACAAATGTCATTATTTTTGTCTTTGTCCATGGTGTGTCTGCTCAGAACATGATGGTTTATGTTAGTTATTTTCATATTTTATTTCATATTTTATATTTTATTATTTTCCATCAGCTGTATTTACTTACTTATTCAGAGTGCTGCTGCTAGGGTCCTGTCAAAAACTAGGAAATATGACCACATTTGTCCAGTTCTAAAATCCTTACGCTGGCTACCTGTCACTCAGAGAATTGGTTTCAAAGTCTTGCTGCTTGTGTATAAATCACTCTGTGGCTCAGGGCCCAAATATCTCTGACATGCTTGAGACATATGAACCTTCCAGGACCCTGAGGACATCTGGGACCGGCCTATAGACCATCACATGAGTCAGAACAAAACTTGGTGAAGCAGCATTTTGATATCATGTAGCTTAAACCTGGAACAAAAAACCTGGACAAGCCCCGACTCTGACCACTTTTAATTCAAAGCTAAAAACATTCCTTTATTACGCTGCCTATTCCACCCCGTAATTACTGCTGACTTCTTTTTATCTTTGCACCTCTTGTATGCACTTTTGCTTTTTAATTGTAAATCATTTAGTAATTAATTTTACCTTTTATATCCTTTTCTGTATCCTTTATCATCTTGTTGCTCTGTAAAGCACTTTGAATTGCCCTTGTGTATGAAATGTGAGTTTGTTGAGCTGTTACATGTCAGTAAAGGTTGACATTGTTCAGAACTACTTCCTGTTCTCTGTGAAGCAGAAGCTGTCACAATATGTACAAAGATTCCTGGAGATAATAATGTGACCACAGTGAAATCTAACATCTACACAGACCTTGACGGCAACTACATGAAACCCTTCTGCCAAGGACTGTTGAGGGTGAATGAACCGATGGGGCAGGCAGTGCCATCTAGTGGCCTTTTTGGGTCATGGCAGCTGACAGCCATGATGCAACCAAATAATTTCAGTTGAAAATATATAAATAAAACAATAGTTCACGTGCTATTTATACTAAAGGAATAATTACTGAATGTAATAATAAAATTGATTTTTCACAAGGTACAAGAATGAAGAAGGTGTCTGACTATCAGTAGGTGTTTATTCTTTATTGATTTATTTATTTATGGCCACAAGTTTAGTGTATGTGTATTTGTGAGTATGTTAACATACATAGCTTGTGTATACGCATAGTTTGACAAATCAAAACACATCGGTGATGATTGGATAAGGATAAAGATGAGATTATTTTTTTAATATGCATTTGAATTTTTATTTTCTAAGCATTTCTGTAATTATTTATATCTTGGTGTAAGACAAATATAATTGGTAATTAATTTAATATATTAGAATAGGTCTCGGAGAATGAATTATTGAACAGCCTTATACTGATGGGAAGCTACATCATTGACTATTACTAATTTATGGAGAAGGGGTGCGATTAAATAAATTTGTGCTTCCTCCCACTCCTTTTTGGACATGTAAATCAAATCAATATAGGCTACATTATTTTCAGGGGTTTTTTTTATGTCTGTCTACAAATGTATGATTATTTTGTTTCCTTGCTACTTACCTTTTCGACATAAACTGCTACTAACCAACTAAATAAATAAAGACAAGAGGGAAACTGAGATCAGTGACGGAGCATCTTTCACAAGCAATAAATAATAAACTACTTACAGTATGTCAACAACACACACCACCACATTAGTTTACTCCTGAAAATCATCTTCGAGTCAGATCCTCCAAGCAGCCTGGCACACCTGATATCCGAAAACATTAGTATCCCACTATTGGCCTGTAAGAACTGCTACAGAACACACTCTTAACTTCCTGTATAGTGCCAACACAGACCAGACTTTTCTAACCACGTTTCTGACAGCTATTGGTGAGATTAAAATAGAGAGAGACGTCACTCTGATAGAAAGGCACAGCTCAGCATTAAAAATAAGCTGATGTAAATTGCAGGCAACTGACTTCCGCGTATCCAGCAGGTATTAGTAAGGTTTGTTTCCCAGTGTGTACTACGTCTATGGAGAAGACTTGTTGGTTTGTTGTGCAGAATCATGTGAAATGACAGATGTGGAAATGAAAGTAAAGCCATAGCGGGTGCGCTCGATTTCGGCACAAGTGAGCACCGGGTGGGTGGAGCTTGAAGTTGCAACGTTCACTCACTGGCCACTTTATTAGGTACACTTGTTCAACTCTTTGTTAACGCACATAGCTAATCAGCCAATCACGTGGCAGCAGCTGCATTCAGATATGTGGACATGGTGAAGACGACCTGCTGAAGTTCAAACTGAGCATCAGAGGGGGGAAGAAAGGTGATTTAAGTGACTTTGAACGTGGCATGGTTGGTGGTGCCAGTTGGGCTGGTCTGAGTGTTTCACAAACTGCTGATCTACTGGGATTTTCACACACAACCATCTCTAGGGTTTACAGAGGATGGTCCCAAAAAATGCTTTGTTGATACCAGAGGTCAGAGGAGAATGGCCAGACTGGTTCAAGATGATAGAAAGGCAACAGTAACTCTAATAACCACTGGTTACAACCAAGGTCTGCAGAAGACCATCTCTGAACCAACAACACGTCCAACCTTGAAGCAGATGGGCTACAGCAGCAGAAGACCACACCAGGTGCCACTCCTGTCAGCTAACAACAGGAAACTGAGGCTATAGTTCACACAGGCTCACCAAAACTGGACAATAGAAGATTGGAGATAAGTTGCCTGGTCTGATGAGTCTGGATCAGAATTTGGCATAAACAACATGAAAGCATGGATCCATCCTGCCTTGTATCAACGGTTCAGGCTGCTGCTGGTGGTGTGATGGTGTGGGGGAGATTTTCTTGGCACACTTTGGGCCCCTTAGTACCAACTGAGCATGGTTTAAACACCACAGCCTACCTGAGTATTGTTGCTGACCGTGTCCATCCCTTTATGAGCACAGTGTACCCATCTTCTGATGGCTACTTCCAGCAGGATAACGCACCACATCACAAAGCTCAAATCATCTCAAATTGGTTTCTTGAACATGACAATGAGTTCACTCTACTCCAACGGCCTCCACAGTCACCAGATCTCAGTCCAATAGAGCACCTTATCATGGATGTGCAGCCGACAAATCTGCAGCAACTGTGTGATGCTATCATGTCAATATGGACCAAAATCTCTGAGGAATGTTTCCAGCACCTTGTTGAATCTATGCCATGAAGAATTAAGGCAGTTCTGAAGGCAATAGGTGTCCCACCTGGTACTTGCAAGGTGTGCCTAATAAAGCGGCTAGTGAGTGTAAGTCCTGTTAGAGGAACAAATGCCTGACACCTGTTTTTATTCCAAAATGCCTCTGAAAGGCTGTAAAACCTTAAAATTGTATTTAGTGATGAGTTGCAGTCTGCTACAGTGGAAATCATTGGAGCAGACTGCACAGAGATTCTATTCAGCGTGTGTTCGACAGCCCACACAATAATGCAGGACACTTGTTTCTCTATTCTTCCTTTTTCCATTTTTGCAAACAAACACACCAACACATTCACAGACATGCACATGCACTTTAATCACAGAGTGATAGTATAATATAACCCCATATACGTTGGACTATGTTGCAGGAAGGATGAAAACTATGGGGTGCCATTTGTAAAGTGGTTCACGCTGAAAATAACATCAACATTTTGCCACATTTAGCTTCAAACAATGTTTAAAAAAGTGTTGTGAATTTTTTAACATCACCTTTTACCACATTTACAGCAATATTTGTTAACTTAGAGATATATTAAATAGTTAAATCTAAATATTAAATGTGGCACCTAAATGTTAAATCTAAATATTAAATCTAAACTTTAGTAGTTTAGTGGGTTCAACGACGAATCACATTGCTGATTTATCGCATCACGTGATCTGGATATTGTAATGTGGGCCCAGAATAGACTCCACAGACTGTCATTGAACCAGCTCTTTGAAGTGAATGAGTGAGCGGCTGCACTGTCTTTCTCCCTCACAAACTAGTCTTTCTCAACTTGTTCCAGATCAAGTAATCTGAGATTAATGGATACAGAGTAAATTAAAGCAACAAACAAAGAAATTAGGAACTGGCTCGTACACTCTAAAGAGCCGGTTCACTCGTTCACTTCAAAGAGCCGGTTCAAAGACTCAGATCACTAATTAAAACCAACTTATCGGGGGAAATGAACACTTGAACATTCATTAGCGTGATAATAACTACATAAAATAACAAAAAAAACATGTTTGGAGAAAGTTTATTTGACGTGTACTTTCAGTTGTTAGTGTCCCTTCGGGAATTGCCGTGTTGTTTATAAATACGTCCGGGTAGAAAACCATTAGAAAACCATTTGCTGTTAGCCCCGTTAGTGGTGTCTGTAATGACTCATTAACTCAATGTGCTGAAAAAAAATATTTTTTTCCAGCGGATGTCTTAGTTACAACATTACTGAGCTAACTGGAGTAGTTTCATGTCGTAACTGACAACAGGAGGCTTTTAACAGATGACGTCCTGATGTTAGCTTTGCTGCTGCTGTTAGCTGTCCCTGTCAGCTGCTGCCACTGATGCTTTCTAAATACTTTCTAATACTTTCTAAACTGAATAAATACCACACATCGCAACACAAAACTGCTTTGCTAGCTCAATCATGTTGTAACTAAGACATCCGCTGGAAAAATTTTTTTCCACAGACCGTTTATTGAGTTATTACAGACACCACTAACGGGGCTAACAGCTAACAGTTAGCCCAGCTAATCTACGATAACTCGGAGGTATTTGTAAACAATCAGGCGATTCCCAATCCCTCCGAAGGGACACTAACAACTCAAAGTACACGTCTAATAAACTTTCTCCAAACATATTTTTTGTTATTTTAGGTACTTATTATCACGCTAATGTATGTTCAAGTGTTCATTTCCCCTGATAAGTTGGTTTTAATTCGTTATTTGATTCTATAAACACAGTCTGACCATCTCGAGCTTTTATTTTGGTACTTCCGGTGACCGGCAGTGTGAATTTGCATATTAGCTAAATATTTAGTTTCACCCAGAACATTTAGATTTAACATTTAACATTTAGATTTAGATTTAGCATTGAGATTTAACATTTAGATTTAGATTTAATATTTAGATTTAGATTTAGCATTTAGATTTAACATTTAGATTTAGATTTAATATTTAAAATTAGCATTTAGATTTCACATTTAGATTTAATATTTAGATTTAACTATTTAATATATTTCTAAGTTAACAAATATTGCTGTAAATGTGGTAAAAGGTGACGTTAAAAAATTCACAACCCTTTTTTAAACATTGTTTGAAGCTAAATGTGGCAAAATGTTGATGTTATTTTCAGCGTGAGCCACTTTACAAATGGCACCCCATAGAAAACTGTGTGCAGCCTGAGTGCAAGATGTCAACTGAAATGTAATATTCATTTTAAGGCACAAACAACCCTCCGACTCAGCTGTTACTAACCTTCCATTAACATTACAAAATGTACAATGTTTAAAAAGGAAAACACAAAAAACATCATGGTTAAAGCAGGCAGTTCTTAAACTTGGTACAATTTGGCCTGAAATGTATGCTGACATCTCGAGGGTTAATCTGTAATTTAGTGTTTCTAAAGCACATGTAAACTTCAGAGTCCCAGGGCGTCTTTCTTCACGTTGAAACCCAACAGAGTATTTCCAGCTTCCACACACTCTGTCACACGTGGTGCTGGAAAAACAAACACACAAAACAATTTAACAGCAGAGTGAATGTGAGCAAACAGCTTTTTTTAACCAGCACACACTGTTAAAAACAATCTATTATTCTGGTTATTACCATTCTGAGCACGGAGCCATGACACAGCCTTCATGGCCAGAAGCTCCCACTCATCCTGAGCATCCATCTTGGAGCCATGAAGCCAGATCAGAGCCAGAATGGTGGCCCACACTTCCTGGTTCACCTAATTCACCAAATCAAAGATAAACAGATGCTTACTTCAACATGATCACAGATATGGTCAAAGCTTTAATCTCCCTCCTCTGTCTGGTTACATAGCATGTCATGAAATCTGTTTTAAAATAATTTCCCTTATGATTATTGTGTCAATAACTCACCGATGCAGGCTTTGGCTTTTCCACCTCCTTGCTGGTTTTTCCCAGTGCAGCAGCCAGAGCTGAATCCAGCTCCCAGCTGCCAGACGCCTTCTGGAGGGAGATCAACTGCAGCAAAGGGTCTCTGGGTGGCTGCTTAAGTGAAAATTCTTCTTCTTCTTCTTCTTTTTCTTCTTCTTCAGAGCACTCTTCTGCAAAGATAACATATTCTTGTCACACACCCATCATTTAATACTCACACATAATACTGATATCACTGACATTCACACTCCATATGTTGCTCTTTTTTAGTTATTTGTTAATTTGGTCTAATTTGGTTTGATTTGCTTCTAATAAAATAACCTTTGTTAACTGTTAATCATGGTGTGTCTCCCTTTTGTTATGGCCACTTGAGCTGGGTCGTAACAGCCTTAAATAGCCATGGCATACTGAGACAGACTTGTGTTGCATTGTGATATTCTTTTTGTTTCTACCCTGTTTCTCAGTTTTTGATGGTGTACAAACTATCTTGAAAACATTAAAGAATGAACCTGAATCTGTTAAACTCCCATTTCACTTACCGTGAAACCACTTACTTAGCCACTGTGCCATACTCCAGGCCCCCATCTCTTAAGAGATTTAAAAAAGAAAAGAGTATGAGGTCAAGACATGAAAATCAGTAAACAAAAAATATCAAGTAAACTATTGATTTTGCTTTCATTACACACAGGAGCCAGAGTTCAATACAAATACAGTACAACTCGAAAAATAATTTAATTCTGTCACACATAATACTGATATCACTGACATTCACACTCCATATGTT